CTGTACAGTATAAAAACCATTACGCCTATGGGATGTCCTCACTTTTCACAAAAACACTTTTGTGTGTGTGTGTGTGTGTGTGTGTATGTATATGTGTGTGTATGTGTGTGTGTGTATCTATGTGTGTGTGTATATGTGTGTGTATCTATGTGTGTGTGTGTATGTATATATATATATGTATGTATATGTGTGTGTGTGTATATGTGTGTGTGTGTGTGTGTGTGTGTGTGTGTGTCTGTGTGTGTGTATAGGTGTGTGTGTGTGTCTGTGTGTGTGTGTCTGTGTGTATATGTGTGTGTGTGTGTGTATACGTATATATGTGTGTGTGTGTGTCTGTATAATATATATATATATATGCACACACCTTGCTACGTGTACTGCGTTAGGCTAACCGAGACTTGTCATTTGCACTTATATATTGTTGCCTTTTTTGTTAGTTTTGAATGATTTTATTGTCCTCATTTGTAAGTCGCTTTGGATAAAATTACTAAATGTAAATGTTTTCATCATGTGACGTCATCGATGCCCACTGCAGCCCCTGCCCTTCCCATTACTGTAATAATATTATTAACTATTAATTATTAATATTATTAACAATAATCATGCATACTTTATACATCATGGTGGTATTTATTGTAAAATCATGACTGTGATCTTTTGAGAATCATCAGTGTGAAAATGAAAATTGCAAACAAAATCAATATTAACATTTGTATGGAAATCAGTGGAAATGCACTTAATTTTTGTAAAAATGTATAATGTCACAATGTATGTAATATATATATATATATATATTTGATATTGATAATTGATATTTGTTACTTACTTTAGAAAAAGGTTCTATTAGGTAACGTAAGTTAATCCATTAACTAATAATCAGCAATTTAGTATACAGTAAGTATATACAGTATCAGTATTTGTCAGTGTTAGTTATTAAGATACAGCTGTTCATTGTTAGCTGAGAGCCAATAAATATTGTTAAAAGATACAACTTTAAAATTTAATAGTGTATTAGTAAATGTTGAAACTGACTAAGATGAATATGCCTTAGACGTATTTTTCTTAGTTTGTTAATCACATAGGAACCTTATTGTAAAGTTTTACCCATGTATATTTATATTTTTACTGTCCTTTTTTAAATTTTCATTCCTATTTATGCAGTTATCAAGTGGAAGCCCTGCATATGAGAGCTTCTACAGACAGGTAAATTCACTGAACATGACTTATGGGATGAACCTGTTTAGAAATGTCAGGGAATTACCAATGCTATTTAAACTGGAATAAATAAAGCCCTGATATTATGTGCTCCCAATGTCACCCCAGTGAAGTGTAATATTAATATACTGGCTTATGCTGATGATGGTTCCTGTCATTATAAGTCACTCTGAGGGCCTGTGGTGTTTGTTGCAGGTGGATCCGGGAAACACTGGGAAAGTGGGCGCTGCAGAAGCCGCTCAGTTCTTAAAGAAATCCGGGCTTTCGGACAGCACATTGGGTCAGGTGAGGATAAATAATCACGTCACTGAACATCTGAAAGCCTTGAGATGCAGCGCTGGAACTGTTGGTGGAAAATTACAGTTTTACCTCTCTTTACAGATCTGGGATCTGTCAGACCCAGAGAGAAAAGGTTACTTGGATAAAAAGGTAAATACTATTGTTTGTCAGAATAGGCCTTTAGACAATTAGATGGCTTTGCCGTCGTATTGATGTAATTTATATCAGCTCTTCATTTATTTGAAGTCTTAAATCCTGTTTGTACAATTGTGTTTGATGGAAAGTTAAAAGTTCCACCTTTATGAATCTCACTGAGCCAGATTTTGGTCAAAAAAAGAAAGGATGCAACACGCCAAAATAAAACTTTTGGTTTTACATGAATTAATTATCACAGGTATGTATTAAATATTGTACAGAGGAGTGTAATTCTCAAAGTAATAATGATAATACAATTTATTAAAACATAATTTTAAGGAATACCATACAATATCACACATTTTTCCCCCATGTTTTTATTAAAATCTCGATCCTGCAGCGCTTTGTTTGTTGTTGATGTTTTGTTATTTTAGTATAATTGAGAGTTTTAATATTTTCTGATTTTATTTTAATTTCAGTTAAAGTTTTAACAGTTTTGTTGTATTTTTGTCATTTTTATAATTTTTTTTAATTTTTATTTAATTTTTATTTATTTTGGTACATCAAGTTAAACTAAATTTTACATATATACTATATACTACCGTTCAAAAGTTTGGGATCAGTAAGACTTGTAATGTTTTTTAAAGAAGTCTCTTCTGCTCATCAAAGCTGCATTTATTTGATCAAAAATACAGTAATCTTGCAAAATGTTATTTCAATGTAAAATAATGGTTTCTATTTTAATATCCTTTAAAATAGAATTTATTTCTGTGATGCAAAGCTGAATTTCCATCATCATTACTCCAGCATAAAGTGTCACACGATCTTTCAGAAATCATTCTAATATGCTGATTTATTATTAGAATTATCAACAGATGTGCTGCTTCATATTTTTTTAGAACCTGTGATACTTTTTTCAGGATTCTTTGATGAATAAAAAGAACAGCATTTATTCAAAATATAAATCTTTTCTAACAATATAAATCTTTGCTATCCCTTTAATTGAACACATCCTTGCTGAATAAAAATGTAAATTTCTTTCAAAAAAAGAAAGAATAAAAATGTACTGACCTCGAACTTTTGAACTATAGTGTATATTGTTAGAAAAGCTTTCTATTTTAAATAAATGCTCTTCTTTTTAACTTTTTATTCATCAAAGAATCCTGAAAAAAGTATCAAAGGTTCCAAAAAAATATTAAGCAGCAACAGTTTCCAGCACTGATTATAAATCGGCATATTAGAATGATTTCTGAAGATCATGTGACACTGAAGACCGCAGTAATGATGCTGAAAATTCAGCTGCGCATCACAGAAATAAATTTGATTTTAATGTATATTCAAATAGAGAAACGTTATTTTACATCATAATAATATTTCACAATATTACATTTTTTCCTGTATTTTTGATCAAATAAATGCAGCCTTGATGAGCAGAAGAAACTCCTGTAAAAAACATTAAAAATCGTTCTGATCCCAAACTTTTGACCGGTAGTGTGTGTATATATATATATATATATATAGAAAATTTCTTGTAACAAAATATTTTTTTTTAATGCTTTTACTTTTAGCTTCTGTTAACTTTTAATAACACTGGTTTAACCCTGGTTTGCAATCTCTATTAAGGGTTTCTTCGCTGCTCTGAGGCTGGTGGCTTCTGCTCAAGGAGGAAGTGATGTCAGTCTAAACGGTCTAAGCCAGAACATCTCTGCACCCATCCCTAAATTTGTGAGTGTTGGCACTTTAGATACCTGAGCTGAAAACTCAGTGACCCACATGTGTTTATCTGTAAATGTTATTTGAATAGCTTGTGTATAAATAAAGATGTGGTGAAATTTTGCTTTGTAAATGACTCTTGTATGTGTCAAATGCTTAAAATATCTCACTGTCATCCTGTTGAGTACGGTAGCTGATGCTGACAGTTAATCGCGTGTGTTTGCATGCTGATTTGTAAGTTGTTTGGGTAAAAAAGCATCTGTTAAATCAAATACATGTAAATATCCGCAATGCCGTGTGTTTTTTCAGAGAGATGCCGGCAGCCCGTCCCTGAACATCACAACCTCTGCTGCTGATTCCAGCTGGACAATAAAGGTACAGAATTACTGGAATAAAATCAGATTTGTGATGGAAAAACTTATTTAAATAGTCTCAGGGTTTCTCACCACACAGTGATTGTCTCTTGTTCAATGTGCTTCACCAGCCAGAAGATAAAGCCAAGTATGATGGGATATTTGAGAGTCTGTCTCCGATTGGTGGGCTGCTGTCAGGTGATAAAGTGAAACCAGTCCTAATGAACTCAAACCTGCCTCTCGATGTGCTTGGAAAGGTGAATATCTGTTTTAAGCTTGCACTGATACAGACAATTTAGACAAATAGCCACTTCATTTTTCCTGATATTTTCCTGATATTCTAAGAGATTGTTACTTTTATTTAGCATTAAATGTAGCAAAAATAAAAAAGTAAGGTTTATAATCTTATAAATATTTATTTTTACATTTTTTTGAACTGTCTATTCATCAAACAATCCTGAAAAATAATATGTATCACAGTTTGCACAAAAATATTGGGCAGCACAACTGTTTTCAGCATTGATAATAATCAGAAATGTTTCTTGAGCAGCAAATCGGCATATTAGAATGATTTCTGAAGATCATGTGACACTGAAGACTGGAGTAATGATGCTGAAAATACAGCTGCGTATCACAGGAATAAATTATATTTTACTATATAATGGAAAACACTTATTTTAAATTGTTATAATAATCATTTTCAAGATTAAGCGGAAGAAGATCGCAGGCGCTCTTCCGGGATCCGTTCCTGTTCTTCCCTCTAGTCCGTTCCTCCTAAAGGAGAACCTGCGGCCCACGCCGGTGCTTTCCAAGAGTCCTCTGGGTAGCAGCTCAAATCTGTCTCCGTCGAACTCATTCAAGCGCTCCACCCCGACACCACCGCAGCCTCAAACACACACACAGGTGAAACCTGTCGATCTTGATGTAACACTCATAATACTGGTCCAACCACATTCTTATCAGCTCCTGGAACTCTAGTCCTCATTGACTACAAAAATAATTCACAGATTTTAAAGGGGTCATTGGATGCAAAATACACTTTTGAACATAAATGTGTGTTTGTACACATCCACCCTATAATGATAAAAACAGCACTCGGCGCCTAGTCTGGAAATGTCATGCCCCTTACCATACCACTGCGAGCTTTAGTGTAAATATTTTGTCAATATCAAATCAATTTGAGCACGATTTTAAACCCGGATGATTGTAACCACTCTAAGTTAGTCTGCCTTGGGAAAGCTAGCGTGTCTCTGACATAGTGATAACACTCGTTGCTATCTCCGTTGTAGTCCAAACGAGTCGTTCGTTGTAGTTTTTGAAAAGTGATTTCTGTTAAATAAAATATCTCCTTTTGAAGTGGACTTTGAGCTTTGTAACTTTGCAGATCTTTTTTATGCTCAAACAGCAACATTACAGACTAACTAAAGTTGAAAATGTGAAAAAGCATAATAGGACCCCTTTAAATCCCTATAAATAATATCCCCTTTCTCAAATCAAGCTGTTCTCAGCTTCTTGGCTGTGTGACTTCACACAGACTCAGGCCCCTCCCACGATTGTTGATTGACACTAGCGTTTTACCTTAGACCCGCCCTGAGTGAGCTGTCATCAGTCCTCCATTGTTTCACCGCCAGAGCAGATGTAGACAAGAATGTCTCCTAAGCGATTGAGGTGTTCTGTTGTAGGATCTAATGATGAACATAGCAGTCGTCATTTACTCCCGACATCTGAGCCGCTGTAGACACAGTGGGTTACTTTTGTTTTTGAAGGAAATACGGCCCCCGATCTACCTAAATGCGTTTGTTCACACGAATCATTCGTGATCTAGCCTCACCTACAGAAGAAGTGAGTATAAGGTTCTTTTATGAATCCTTGCAAATCGCCTTTCTTAATAATGTGCTAGCTAGCATGGCTAAAGTAAACAGTCTTATAAGAATGTCACCCCACGGAAGAGAGGGGCGGAGTCAGCAGAGCTCATTAGCGTTTAAAGGGACATGCACTAAAACGGCTTGCTGTGTGCAGAGCTGACAGGGTAAAAAGGGTGTTGTTTTACACTACCATTGAGAAATTGTAACCAAAGTATGTTATAGACTTTTCATTAAGACCCTAAAGGATCATATTAACGTGTGGAAAATGGGCATCCGATGACCCCTTTAAAAGGGAAAGTTAGTTTGAACGGGAAAATTTTCTACATTGTTTGGAAACCTACAGTTCTTTGACCAAGTAACACAGTTCATTATTAGTTACTCAATAACTAAACCTGTACAACACCCAAGATATTCTCATTCAAATGACTTTCATTGTAAACTTCATGAGCAGCCAGATAGCAAAAGAAATTGAACCATTTGAGGTTTATGGACTGAAGTTTTTGGCATTTGTGCGCAAGTGTGCATGCATTCTGAAAGGAATATTAGTGTACTGCATGTAAACATATAAAAAGCAACCAGAGGAGAAGCAACTCAATATCAGAGTAATTATCAAAAAATAAAGCTAAAATAAAATATGAATATTAGATGAAAAACTTTTCTTGTTTTAGTTTAGTTTAACTTCAAGCACCAAAATAACTGGATAACTGGGAATAAAATAAATATAAACTAAAACTGAACTAAAACTAATATAAAAATAAAAATTAATTAAAGCTATATAGTAATTAATAAAAAACAACAATAAAAATGAGAAAAGCACATAACAAAATTACTAAAAATATAAATAAAATGAAAACTGAAAGAATCTAATTTAAAATATTAATACAAAATATCAGTATAGAAATAATACTAAAATTACACTGCACAAAATAATTTCTGCATGTACCATTTTTGCATAAAAAATGTAAACTCTACATCTACAAATTAATAAATAATGTGCATCTGTTTTTATTCAATTTATGAAGGTGCTGTAAATGTAATTGTTATATATTCTATTGAAATTTTACAATACTACGCTATTTTGTGCATCCAACTTAGATTTAGTTTAATTGTAAATAAATAAATAAATACTATTAATAAAGTTGATGCATCCATTGCATCCAACATGTTTTCTCACTGACCCGCCTCGAACTTATTGGCTTACGTGCATTCATGTGCATAAATATGATCTTTCCAACATGACCTGAATGCACCCTAGAGACATTGCGTTGTGCGATAAAGTATCTCAGACAGTGTCCTCTGGTTGTAAACTGCAAATTTGGGCTGATGCATTTCGAAAATTCACACAATGCACGTAGTATACACATTGCAAAAATGATATAGCCCTGTGCTATTCCAAGCGTTCCCTGTATTTGTCTTAGCAGGCATCCTCTGATCACTGGGTGGTGCAGGCGGAAGACAGAGAGCAGTACGAGGAGATCTTTGAACTGGCAGACTCTGATTTTGATGGGATGGTTGGAGGAGGTGAAGTAAAGGATATCTTCATGAACTCTCGGCTGCCTCAGAGTGTGCTGGCACACATATGGTGAGACCATTAAGTTTGGATTAAACAGTCAAATGCAGTCATATTCTCAAGTCACGCACAGCCTTTTTGTGTTTGCAAAATGAACTTTCCGAGCAATAGGATTTGTTATGTTACACATTCTCCTCCTTTCATACTTGGATTCACAAAGTTTTCTGTTGTTTTGGTCTGCAGGTCACTGGCGGACACTCAGCATACGGGCAAGCTCACCAAAGAGCAGTTCTGTCTGGCGATGCACCTGATTGAGGAGAAGGTGAAAGGAGTGGATCTTCCTCAGAGTCTGACCCCTGAGATGATACCACCGTCAGAGAGAGGAGCCGCCAGCACTCCGGTGAGAGGACAAAACGCACGATCAAAAGCAGGATCGCTTTAGCCTTAATCATATTGTGGTAACACTTTACAATAAGCTCCCATTATTTAATAGGATAGTTCACCCAAAAATTTAAATTCTGTCATCGTTTGATCACCCTCAAGTTGTCCCAAACCTGTGAGTTTCTTTCTTCTGTTGAACACAAAAGAAGATATTTTGAACAAAGTGGGTCTGCCAATGATGTCATAATCCCTCGATTTCCGGTTTTGTTTTGTAGAAAACATGATAAATGATAAAACAGCGCTGCTTTACCCCACATACGCACGACCGGAAGCAGCGGAAGCGGTCAGCTGTGGCATAATAAAAGCTCCGCTGCTTTCGAGCTGTGTGTCGCGCGCGTTCAGCGGCTCGTTTCGCTTCGACGGCTTTCAGCCTCACCCTGCTTCATTCTACTACATTAATAAATCATTAGCTCATCCATGAACATGATTTCTGCCCGAGTCCCGTCGGATTGCATCGGCTGTGGGGATGAAGACCACATCTCCCATGATTCCATTCAGTCACGGCGTCATCAAACTACGCCTTTGATTCTTTGTTTGTTTTGAATACATGCCGTCTAGCAGCGAAAAATTACATATTGTGCCTTTAAGTACTAAGTAATATTAATTAACATGCACTTAATATATATGGTTAGGATTAGGGTTTGGTGCTAAATATGCTTAATTTACTGGTATTACTATAATAAATACTTGTAACGTGTAACAAGGACACTGTAAAATAAAGTGTTACCGAAGTCATGTGCATGCAATTTAAATGCACATGAACATGTCTGATATTTCTGATATGCCGTTCTCTTGTTTTCTTCTCCAGATTGTCTCTGGATTCACACCATCAGTCACATCTGAGTTGACCCCGTTGACCAGTCTGAGCAGGGTGAGTCTGACACATGTGTGACGGGTTACTGTGTGCGGAAGCTGCTATCGATATCCTGCAATAAAATATTTTCTAAATAAATGTGTACAGTGGCAATCTTAATTTAAAACTTGTAAAATTAATTTAAAATACACTGCCTGGCTAAAAAAAGTCACCATTTGGATTTAAAAAAGCAAATACTAAGGAGCATTGGATCATTATTGCACTGATTAGAATGTTTCTGGCATGTTATATGTTTGGGAACAATTCTTTTAACCTTAACTCATGCAGTGATTAGCTTTTTGTTTCTCAGAAAACTATGTTGGAAGATGTCCATAGTCCAGGATGATGAAAAAAATTATCAAAGCAAATATTTATTTTCTTAAAAAATGATTTGCAATAAGAATTTAAGAATGCAAATAGTCTGTTTTGATTTCATGTTGCCTGAAGTTCATGTCTTTATGTTCAGGCGATGAGAAAGTAGATATTACATGAAAAACCTTTCGAATTTTAGTTTGGAAATATAATGAAACCTAAAACCAAAATTCAAATAAAAATGAATTAGCCCTAAATAGTAATATTAATAAAATTAAAAAAGACTAAAGCACATGACAAAATTACTAAAATGTAACTAAAATCAGAATATTAATAAAAAACCATAATGATATATTAAAAAAACACTGCTCAAAACAATTTCTGCATGTACGATTTCTACATAAAATTAAACAAGATTTTTAAACTCTGCATCTATGAAATTATAAATAATGTCTATCAAGTTTGTTTTTGCTTTGTTCTTATTCAGTTTTATGATGTTGAATAAATATTTATTTTCTTTAAAGATAATTTGCAATAAGAATGTTTGTACGGTATGTTGCCCATGTCTTTGTTCAGACGATGAGAACGCCACCTAGTGCTCATCTCTGTGTACTGCATAATTATATACATGTACAGTAGATGACAGAGTATGACTGTCTCTTACTTAACGTGATTTTTCCAGGACAGCAGCAGTTCTGTTGGGTTGGTTGAGCATCAAGTCGATGACATCAACCAGGAAATCTCCCAGCTGCAGAGGTCAGAGAGTTCATGCATGGAGAATTATACGCTACACATAACCATGCATCTGGCATTTCTCTGGTTACTTATTTTGCTCTCTTTGCTTTTTACTCATTTTGATTTTTTCCCCCTGATTTTTGGTGCATAGTGAGAAACGCATATTGGAGACAGAAATCAGGCAGAAAGAGGAAGCCCTGCGACAGAGGAACAGTGAAGTGCAGGTGAGGCTGGTCTGTGCTTTGTCCCACTTGCTACAGAGCCAAACAAAAACATGGAAATGAAACACTGCTATGAGTTTATTATATTATGTGAGAAGAAAGAGAGCATTAAACATGAAATGTTGTTCACACTGCTCTTTTCCACGCATTTAAAGAAAAAAGGAGGCTCAAGACACTGTAAAAGTGTCTTAAAAGTCCAAATTTACTTAATTGAAATGCTGATTGTGTGCGCAGGAGGTGCAGAGATACCTGGAGGGTGAAAACGTGGGCCTTCAGGATTTGGAGCACCAGAAACGGGATGCTCAGGAGCGACTCGGTGAGATGGAGCAGCGGAGAGCCAAACTGGAGAGCACGCTGGACGAGAACAAGAACAAGTGGCAGGAGGAGAACGCTAAAGTGAGAAGCGCTCGATTTGAGTTTGCACAGAAGACAGAAAAGATTTGAGCTGTATATAATAGTTGTCTGTTTGAAGCAGTGATCATTTTTGTTTAAATTAATGAATAAATGTTTTTTTATTTTATTTCTTATGCATTTTTTTAAATGTAAATTTTATATTTGATGCATTTTAGTCATTTATGACTCTGGAGCACAAAAACAGTCATAAGTAGCACAGGTATATTTGTAGCAATAGCCAACAATACATTGTATGGGTCAAAATTATCGATTTTTCTTTTATGCCAAAAATCATTAGGATATTAAGTAAAGATCATGTTCCATGAAGATATTTAGTAAATGTCCTACCGTAAATATATTAAAACTTAATTTTTGATTAGTAATATGCATTGCTAAGAACTTCATTTGGACAACTTTAAAGATGATTTTCTCAATATTTAGATTTTTTTGCACCCTCAGATTCCAGATTTTCTAATAGTTGTATCTCGACCAAATATTGTCCTACCCTAACAAACCATACATCAATGGAAAGCTTATTTATTCAGCTTTCAGATGATTTATAAATCTCAATTTCATAAAATTGATACTTATGACTGGTTTTGTGGTCCAGGGTCACATTTGATTAATTTCCGTTCACCAGTGGGTTTTTTTTTTTTCAGTCTATAGGTTATCGTAGTATTTATTCATATTTTGAGTTAGCATTTATTTTCATATTTTTAGTTTTCAATTTTGTTTTAGTAATTTTATGTGCTTTTTTGCCATTTTTATTTTTTATGTATTTAGTTTATTATATTTAGTTAAAGTTTTAGTAATTTTAGTGCTTCAACTTAAGCTTCTTTTAGTTCAGTTAGTTGGCAAGGCAACATTTCTCAGTTTTACTTGAGTTTTTAAAGTTTTTCATCTAATATTTATATTTCAGTTTTTCCGCTCTTTTGCCTTTTTTCCGCATATTTCTGTTTAGCTTTGATTTATTTTTATTTCAGTTTTAGTTTTAATAATTTTGGTATTTAAACTTTTATTTCAGTATTTGCCAAGGCTAAATTTAATCTAAACTTGTTTCACCTCCTGCTGAAATGATGGGCAATTTTGGACAAAATCAAATTAAAAAAAAAATATAACTAAATATGAACTAAATTTGTCAAAACACAAACACTAAAGTAACACTGTTTCCATTATACAGGCTTCCCAGTGTTGAACACCTGGAACCATTACATTGCCATTTCTAGGCTTTGAAAAAAACATGGACGTTTAATCATGGAAACTATAATATATTTAATTGGCTTAAAATCTGTCTTTGTAAATGTGCTCTGGAAAGTGATTTTTCCTTATAATGACGGGAAAAGTTGTGCTAGGGAGTTTGGAAACCCTGCCTGTCAGTGTATTTACTGTAAACATGTTTCCCGTCTGTTTTTACAAATGCATTTGAAGTAATTTATTAGCTGCCTTAGTAAAAACAAAGGGTAAATACTGACAATCTATAACTTTTAGATAACAGTTTAGATTACAGCAATGTAAATCTCCAATGCAAGTTGTATTGGAATAATGCTTAAACTATGAAGGAAATATGGTTTGAATGACTTTATACTGAAAATCAAGTGTCTAAATGTTGGTTCTCGTATGTTAGTGACTGAATCATTCACATCTTTTGATTGTGTGCGTGCAGATCACATCGCTGCAGACACAGATCCTGTCTCAGGAGTCAGACGTACAGACGCAGGAGAAGGCGATGAGCAGAACGAAGACGGACCTGTACTGTCTGGAACAAGAGGAGCAGCGTTTGGAGGAGAGTCTGCATGCTGGGAAAGCCAAGCTGGACAGCATCCTCAAACTGCTGAAGATATCGCAGGACGAGATGGACCAGGTCACACACACCAACACGTATCCCACACACATCGATCACGCTGTTTTTACTAGGTGCCCTTCAGGTCATTCAAGATTTACACATGGTTATTTACTGAAAGGCAGAGAACCATCATTATGCATTCTTTGTCAAACTCCTGTGACTGTTAAACATATTTTATGGGCCGTTTAGTTACTTGTGATAAAATAAACATTAGCTGAATTAAATAATAAAATAATATAAGATTTATAATTTATTGTTTGTGTGTGTGTGTGTGTGTGTGTGTGTATGTGTGTATATATATATATATATATATATATATATATATTAGTGCTGTCAAACGATTAATCGCGATTAATCGCATCCAAAATAAAAGTTTTTGTTT